AAATTGATTTCAGATGTATTCTCTCGATCGACCACCTGACGAACTGCCATTACACATTGTCTACCGTTTGGGAGTGTAAATATATGTTTTTATAGCAGTTGATGTTTACTTGTTACTAAGTATAAACGAACGCCCCGACTTTCATCTGTTTGTCTAATTCTGGTAAATCTACTTACAGCCAGTCGAAACATCTTGCATTCAAATTCCCTTAACAGTCAAACGCACAATATCTAAACGAAATCGTCACGTCACTGGCACTGAAAACAACTGGAACGATAACAGCATTGTGATTTGTTCATACTTATCCCCACTTTTGTATGAGCACGTTTAATAGGAAGGTTTTTAGAAATGAATTTAAAAAAAGCATTCCAGTCGATTTAAAAATAATTTAAATCCTTGCTACTGGCAAAATTGAATGAAAAACTATTATTCGGATCGCAGAATCATCCTCATAGCACCTGCGTTCATTGGTCCTGTATATCCGATGTGTGAACAATGTAAACGTTTTTGATATGAACAAGTTTGTTAAGGTTATCATGTTAATTGTTACTGTGTATACGCAAGCAAGGTTATTAACTTCCAGTATTAAGTAATCGTTATCATTATTTTCTAATATCGTGAACGAATATTGTTCAACCAGAGATTCTACTAGTCTCTGCTTCTACTAAGCAGCCTTATTTAGCTCTTCAAACAGCTGGAGTTGAAGATAAATGTTTCCCATTAAAAAAATTGTAGAATTTTTCCCATTAAAAAAAGTAGAAGTAGAATAGCAATCAGTGGCGTCCTAGCTTTTATTTTCCACTCTCGATAAGACCCAGTTTCGGCTAAAGCTTGTGGCGCTCACTAGATGTGATATACTATCAAAATGCCGTTATCTTGAACTTGAATTGCTTCCAAACATGTGATATTAGTAATTGGATTGAATGTTTTGTGTGTTATCGAAATTGTAATTTGCATCTTGATATACTGTGTAAGCCTGACTGAATCGCTTTCCTATCTTTATAATTTTTTTCTGGTCTAATTGTGACGAATTTTTTTATGACATAAAAGTTAATATTCGATTGATTAATCATTATTTGGGCAGGAAGATCGATTGGGTCGATAGCCGTTTTCTGTAGAAAATAAAGATTATTTATATATATAATCATATTTTGTAGTTTGCTTGTTGTGTCAAACGTGGAACAGAAAAAATGAAGCTCTGAGGAATTTAAAAATTGAACGTTGAAAAAATCAAATACAACGTAGAAAATAATCAAAATCGAACCTGAAAATGTACTTTATGATTCAACGGGGCAGCAACAATTAAGAACAAAGACGAAATCATGAAATAGGAATAATCCACATGTTTATCTTGCAAAAGTAATGAAGAAAGAATCGTTGAATCCATATGGAAAGATTACAGAGACTTAACAAATTTCGTGGAACAAGAAAAGTCTTCGGAGACTTGCCGAAAAGTCCAAATGTTCAAATACAAAAATTCAGCAGGAATAAATATGTGTTATAAATGTACACCGATGTTCCACTGCAGGTCATCACAATCGCCGGTAACTGCAAACGCGGTTGAAAAACCTTTAATTTATCCTTAATTTCCTAAAAATCAAAACGGCATAAACTACTTTCTTTATTAAAAAATAACGTCCTTCATACATCACAACAAATTAAGTACATTATTCCTGTCTTTCAATTATCTGATTGAGATCACAGTAATTTAACCAATTTGCAACTTGTACAAGTGGATCACCTGGCCAAATAAAGTGCTCAAAATTGAATGCTTTAATCTTAATTGCCTAAATAAATACCCCTATAGCCAATCTTTGGATACAGCCACTTCAAGAATTACTCCTAGCTTCTCTTTTTGGCGTGCGTTTTTTTTCAAATTTTTCACCATTAAATCGATATGTTCCAACATGTCAGCTTCACCCACTAACAGATCCGGGCCTGTTCCTTTTTCGCCAAACACAATCGTGGAGAAGAACAGCGCATGCAACACCTCTGCACTGTTGGCTTCAAGTTTGACCTCCGCCAGGAATTCTTCAAAGGTGAGCTTCAGCTCAGGCACGCCCACTTTGTGTAAAACTTCCACTAGTTCTTCATAGTAGAACCTGCAAAATTCATTAATTAGCCACTGGCGAGAAGCCGGTTTCCATTGCTCCAACCTGAGAAGTTCATCCAGATTGCTCTGCTGGGTACTATCCTGCACACTAGATAGTAGGAAAAACACCAAATCCTTCGCATAAGATCCATAGGAACACATTTGGAAGTCGACGATCTTCACTTCAACTTTGCCTTCATTCCTCTTCAGCATGAGATTATTCACCCAAAAGTCACTATGCACTATGGTGCTCCATGGTTCTCTAATAGGCCCCTGTTCGAACGGCGCCTGACTGGGTCTATTCCTTAGTTCTTCGATTTTAGCCAAATAAGGTTGACACTGAGGAATGGTAAGCATTTGCTCTAAAACCAACTTGTGGAGCGAATATTTTGGAGCGCCGGGAGGTCCCTTTGGAGGACCTCCAGAACCTCCGGGTCCTCCAGGGCCTTCCGGTCCTGCAGGTGGCATGGGAGGACGAGTGCTTTCAAGATATTCCTTAAGTTGCTTGAACACGTCGGGTTTCTTGAACTTAAGAGCTAAGGGAGCTGCGTGGAACGATGCCAAGTATTTTAGCAGCACTTTGGCGCTGGGCAGGTCCAGGCCAATGTGTCTGTCGTCATTTTGGTAGCCTGCAATGCATGGAATTTGTACAAAAAAAGGGAAATCTTCAAGTTTTTTAGTTAATGAGTTATGTACAGCTGAATTAATGTGCTCAATTCAAATTTGCCTAGTTGTAGAGCTTAGGGGATGAAGTCTCTGAATCCAAAAGGAGTGAAAAGTACGTCAGTTGGAGTTTTCTTCGGGATTGTCAAAAGCTTGCGACCATTTTCATTGGGGCCCCCATACATAAAAAATAAAAGTGGGTCTTTTGCATTCTTTATTTAGAGAAGAATTAAAATATTGAAAATATTTCATTGTACATACTTTCCTGACTGTGTTTCAATTCCAAATCAAAATTAATTCCTGGGTTTCAGTCATTTATTGTCTCTATTTATCAATTAAAATACGTTTCAGTGTATTTTTCCACCATCATCAGTTTTTATGTGTAGCGTTGCTGCTACTTTAAGCCTTGGCATACATCTGATGTATGCACGCTACACATAAAAACTGATGATGGTGAAAAAATACACTGAAACGTATTTTAATTGATAAATAGAGACAATAAATGACTGAAACCCAGGAATTAATTTTGATTTGGAATTGAAAATATTGAAAATTAAAGTTTGGGTTGGATGCCTACATGAACAATATTGATCAAAATAACACCAATCATACATAAAAAACAACATACATAAAGTGACTGTAATTCTGAAGTCTAAGTTTTGAAATGGTTTTTTCCGTAAATCCATCAAGCTTTTTTTCCAAATCGCATATCAACCGAAAACAGCGCAACTTTCTCTGAGTTTTTAATTGAGATTGTTTCAGAAGGGCCAAAAAGATCCAACTGGCGAAAATGAACATCTTGTATATGCATATCTCTTGCATCCATCTCAGGTTAAAAACAATACATTGAGCACAAAATGCGCAAATGTGAAAAATATTTCTTTTACCGAAAAACTGGAGTCTGATTTTCTACTTTTCAAGCAAATACTATTTTCTAATCTAAATTGTTGCATTTCGTTTTTTATGAAAAAATGTAAGCTAATGACAAAAAAATGCTAAACATTTTCTGAACTAGATATTAAATAATATAAATTAATACTGACCATCAGGAATCAAATTCCTCATCAACAAAGCAGAATCCTTATCAATTTCAGTCTTAGTGGGGTCCAAGCTGTACCGCGAGCCCAAGTATTCAGGATAAAAGTCAGTATCTATACCATATTCCGATCCAAAGTTCTTGATCAAAGGCAAAATTTCCGAGTACCATTTGATTTCGTTTCGCATGGAAAATGCATTGAAATCTAGCGCTGTTTTTGTCAACGGAAGACATTTGGCCACTGCGTGAATGGTTGAAGTTTTTCCATTCTTCTCCACCTCCACGTCCACCCGATACACCAAACTGAGGTAGTTTTCGCCTGGTTTAGTCAACCGGCTGACTTCCACATTTTTAATGGCACCATCGACGCCTTGAAGCACACCTTCGATTTCCGGAATTGAATAAATCATTTTAGCAGGCAACTCAATGGTAAAATGATTGAAAATTTGGTCCCCATTAACGCGAACACACTGAGATCAGTCGCACAAGCCTGAAATATACATATATAAAGTACTTATCAGGAACGTATTTTCAGATAATACACCAGTTAACGAATTTCTAGTGTTTTAACGAATGGTGGAATGTGTAGTATCACTAGCAAATTAATGGGAAAAAAATGTTTTATTCAATTGGGAACAATTGAGTTTTTCATAGCAATTTGCGTTATCAGTTAAGAGGGATGTTTACTTTTTAGAGCTGGCTTTGCGCAGTTTGCAAATACTTTTTCGAATAATATTTTTTAATCAGATCATCATGAATGAAAATATAACGATTTATAGAAATACTCGAAATACTCGAAAGAAAAAATCGTCTAAATATCCACATGACATAATGTGTTAGATAATCGCAAAAAAATAATGCGTTTATTAACTTTTAGTTAGCAGGTAGGAAAATGTAGGTATACGAAAAAAAACAAATCTATGTTCCTGATATGTTTTGGATTTTATATTTTTTATTTTTTTGGTTATAATGCCTTTGCCTTATAAGATCAGCTTTTGTCTATTGAAAGTAGAGGATTTATTAGAAATTCAAATTTTTATTGCTTGCTGCTCATGTTTAGGTTAACGGCGTTTCTCTAATAAACTAATATACAAATTGTTTCTTTCATTTATCCGACATATTTGTCCATTTTCAGGATAAATAGCATAAAACCAGCTTTTAGCGGAAAAATGCATTTCATGTCAAGTTGAAAGAGGACCAGATCAGACCAAAACAAATATCTCCCTTTTCATCAATTGAGCTAAGTGAAAAGGCATTTGATAAAGGCTAGAGACAACAGACCGCAACTCCTGAGAAACTCGTTTTTTGATCAACTCCAAACCACAATTGACTCACTACCAAGTGACGAACTCATGATAGTGCTTGGGAACTTTAATGCACGAGTTGGAAACGGAAAAGTCCCAAGAATTAAACAAAGGTTCAACGAGAATGTGCTGAATTATAACGGGAAACTAATGATAGACTTACAATGAATTGCGTATCAATAATACTTTCAATCCCCAATGTAAATTTACATTTGCAAATAGCAGAGGCCACACATCGACAATCGACTACATTGTGACTAATAGGCAATTTCACCCAACTCAAGTACTCGAAATCAGAGCGCCCAATTCGGCAAAATATAGGAAGCGATCATAACATTTTACTCGGAAAATATAAATTGAAAATACGAATATCAAAACAACCAAGACCGGTGATACCAACACAGAAACTCAATATTGAGCTGCTATGGGACCCTACAATAAAGTACCTATGCAAAAATAGATTACAACAAAAAATCGAAGAAAACCCGATTTTAAATACTAACGGCGTCAATATAGCTTGGCAAAGAATCAAGAAGAATATCAAGAATTCAGCAAGGGAGGCACTTGGAGAACGAGCCATAAAAGTGACCAAGTAATCAACCACAAGACACCATGGTGCCGCCCAGAAGTCAACGAACAGTGCAAAGAAAAAAGAAAGGCCTACCTAAAACATTATACTATGCGAACGCCAGAATCATATAATGAATATATTGTACATACTTTCCTGACTGTGTTTCAATTCCAAATCAAAATTAATTCCTGGGTTTCAGTCATTTATTGTCTCTATTTATCAATTAAAATACGTTTCGGTGTTTTCCACAATCATAAGTTTTTCTAAAATAACAGATAGTTAAAAAAAAATTGCCATTAATTTAAAAAGAATCACAGTTCGTCAACAGCTTCATCATATCACACACTAAAATACATCACAATTGCAACACTTTTAAACATTCTAAGATTAATTAGACCTAACAGGTGATTAGTCAGGACAATCAATTCTGGGAAGAGACTAGAATTCTTTGTTCAGATACTCAAATATTTTTACTTACATGTGTAGCGTTGTTGCTACTTTAAGCCTT